ATGATTCAGTTGAAAATTTTACGGAGATAATTCACCTGTAAATCTCCTTAATTATTCATTCTCTCATTTTTGTAAATTTTTACTTTTCTTCTTGCTAACTCATTTGCAATTGGAGTTAATTTTTCTATTAATGAGATCACTGATTAATAAAAGAAAACCTTGCTTTTGGAGGTATCCATTTTTGCAAAAAAGTAAAAAAAAATGACACTTTAATAGTGCATGTTTCCTGAAATATAATTTAAAAGTTTTGATATAAAATACTTCTGAGTAAACAATACAGTATTAGTGGGATTCTATAAATTAGAAGAAACACTATGACAATGTTTATAAGAAACTACATTATTTCTCAGTGTAGTATGTAGTTGATGTCATTACATTATGGGAGAATTTATTGCGAATATGCACATTCCAATAATAAAGTGTCAATATACATAGTTGGTAGTATAATAGCTGAATATATTTCTTTACTTTGTCTTTCAGACTAAGTTTTTTAGGTTTCTAGAATCCTACATAAGGTATTTTTAAGAATCTTTAAATAAATATTATCAATCTTTTGTTACATAATTCTTTTGCAAAGCTACATTTGTTAAAATTTATCTACTCTGTGTGATGCCTCATATGAATCATAAAATGTTATTTCAATAGTATTTAAATGTTATAGACAGTGAAATTAATCTCTGAAATCAACCTGTTTATTTAGTACATACATTTATTTATGTATTAACATCTATACTTTTAATATATGTAAATATATGTGTATATTTGTGATACATCTATCTATCTATCTATCTATCTATCTATATATATATCTGCACATACACACATACATACCCACACATGAGGAAATTATATGCTCCACCTAGAACCACATTAACAGATTTGTTTGCAATATGTATATGCTGTATCAAAAATAGCTACTATTGGATAATCATCAGTTTGATATATTTTATTTTCAAAGTGTGATTTCAAAAATATTAACTTTTGTTTCATTTTGTGATTATGTAGTAATCATTCTACAGCTTAAACATACTTTATAGAAGTTTCTTAGTACAAACTGTAAGGTAGTTATGAAAATCTAAGACAACATTGTGTCCAGTAGACTCCAATAGTGTCTCTGTTTACTATTGTCTGATGCTTTCTTAGCAATTTCTAATCAAATATTTACTTCAGTAAAATTTTATTCCCCTACAGCTCTTAATAGCCACTGAAGCAGCTTGAATGACATAATCAAACACAGTTAACATGATGCGTAATCGTTACATTTTTATTCGAATCTCTAGACGTTAATGGCGCTCTTGGGTATCAAGATTCTCCTGTTCCCAATTGATCATGTATCAAAATCCGTCCAGATGCCTAACAATCCTGACCTAGTATCATGCCAATCTCCATAATTCCTTTAGACAATAAGACAGCTTATCTCAGTACGGAAGTAATAATGTGGACACAAATGAACCAAATAATTGATTATTGAGTAGAAACCTATCATTTTGACCCTTTTCACTTATTTATAACCAGTTACTATAATAGGAAACTAGTTCTCATATGAGTATACTGTTTACTCCTTCTGGTCACCTTCTCAAATACTTTATTTTCTATTGATAAGAAAACAAAAATGTAATAAAATGTTTATTTATTGTGTTCATAATAGCAGAATATTATAAATAATACAAAGGCCTCAAATATTAAATATAGAATAATATATATTCTCTTATTAAATATAGAATATTAAATTCTATAGTCTCTATAGTTCACTAGTGTAAGCTCTTAAAAAGGAATGACAAGAATCCAGATGGGACTGTCAAATCACTCAGGCTGGGATATAGCTATCTAAAACCTAAATTTTTACAGTTGGGGGCATTTCTTTCAATTGTTTTCTAAATCTTATTTATGACACATGAGGTCACAAATAAATGATAGTAACTCCAACACCATGTTATATGTAACTATTGAATATTTTGAAAAAAATAGTCATATCAATGCAAAATGGTAAAAAAAATGGATATGAAATTGAATATATAACATGATCCCAACACTATAAAACATTTGTTAGTGATAGCAGTCCTCTGTTGTAGGATCTCTTGATTAATTGATTTTTCTGTATTTTTTAATAACTTTACACTAGTGGTCCTCAAATGAGTGATATTTTCCCCCTAGAGGACATTTGGGAATATCTGCTGAAATTTCTGTTTGTTGCAACTGGGGGGGGGGGGAATTCCTACTGGTATTTCATGAGTAGATGATTAGGATACTGATAAACATCCTACAATAAATAGGACAGTCTCCTTGTCCCCATCAAAACAAGGAATTTCTGGTGTGAAATACCAGTAATGTCAAAGTTGAGAAAATGTGCAATACATTAAATATATATTTTATTTAAAACTAGAAAAAAGACATAGCACTAAACATACAAAGAAAAACAGTTTAAATAGTATACATATCAAATGTGCTTAGGCCAATTATGTTTTGTGAAAAATTATCAATCATATTTACTCAAGCAAAAGAAATCAGCAAGAGTATAGTATAATAGTAAATATATTAAATTCTATAGTCTCTGAGGTTCACTAGTATAAGATTTTAAATATGAACAACAAGAATCCAGCTGTTACTGTTGAGTCATTTAGGTTGGATTGTAGTTGTTGAAAACCTAAATTTCTGCAGTTGGGGTCATTTCTTTCAGTTGTTTTCTAAATCTCTAACTGGTTTATTTGGTATCTAAATTGAAGCCTGTGAACAACCAATTTTCACACAAAACTTTTTGAAACAAAAGAAATTATGCCTGAATGAACACTTATGTAAAAAATTCTTTTATTTCTCATTCTGGCAAAATTCCTAAGATTTAATGAAGTGAAACCATTTAAAAAAAATGTCTATCAAGTGAGAACACAAAGAATATGTCCAAAAAATAACCTAGTAGACTAACTACTTTGCTTTTGCATATAATGGTCAGGCTTCAATGTTGCCCTTGACAAAACTAAAATTATCAGGCTCCTGTTTCTCATTTGATTGTAGATTTTTGTAAGACTGTGGTCCCATAATAAACAAAAGTGATAGTGTTATTCTGAAGGAAGTTAATTAAATGTGATTGAGGTTAAATTTTACCATCACATTCTTTTAAAATGCACTTTCACATTAGAGGAATGCATGGATGTTTTTACAAAGTGGAAAACCTACAGGATTTTGTTGGCAGTTATGATAGTGGTGTTCAATGGTTCTGTCCAGAGACCCTAAGGAAGATGAACTGTGCTCTTCAAAGCATCTACTAAGTGTGAACAACTACTCTATGCCAGATATTGTGCTGGTATTTTGCATATTTTATGACTATTCCCCAGAGCACCCCACTAAGTAGGAATTATTTTTTCCCCTTCAGTCACGAGGGCTTGAAGTCTATATCATCACTTTTCCTAAAGTGATTCAGCTCATGATTCAGCAAAAATTCAGATGGAGTTGACCTATCTGCAGGTCTGTTACTCATGTGCTCCTGTCTAGCTTCTGTTTGGCTTCAGGAAAGACAAAGATGTCTAAGCCCTCTCCCTGCTGGAATGAATGATAATTGTCATTCCAAACAGTAAGATGGAATTCAAAACAAAAAATGATATTCCATGAGTGTGTTATGGTCCTCAGATTAAGCTCTGGAACACTTAGTGGAGCAATTTAATTTGTAAGTTGAGTTTTCCAAGAATCCTATCATGTTATAATTGTTTTTAGATAGAGATTTTTTAAAGAGATTAAACAATCAATGTTTATTTAATTATCCAGTGGCATTATCCTCCCTTAATCTAATCCTGGATACTTTAGTGAAAAATATATTATTTTAGATTGCCGTCATTTGCCCTACTCTTATTATAACCCTATCTTAACTTAAAAGACTACAAAGATGTTTTTATGCTATTTCTTCTGACTTACTTTTCTTTTTTCTTTCATTTAAAGTAGGTGGGTGGAGTACAGAAGGTAGTGGGGAACAGTTATTCACAGTAATAAAAATCTTTGGAAACACACTTTTATTTTTTTTTAAAGTAGAGAATGGTGTTTATTTCAATGACTAAAATCTGTGCTTTCTTTCTATTATAAACTGGAGAACATTAAAAAATAGGACAGGAAAAAGAGTCAAAGAATTTGCTTGGCCTTTTTAGATTCACCAAGTTCTGTAGTTTTTCAGCTAAAATGACTTGAATGAGTCCAAGAGTATGAAGCTAGGAAATTTTTTAACCTCACCAGGATATGATCCACCTTTTTATTCCAGATGAGTGAAAACAGTATATTAATTTAAACTATGAATTTTTAAATCTACAATGAAAAATAGTACAAATGAAGCACTTTTATTTTTCTTAAGGCTTTTAGAGTAATGAAGACAAGAAGTAAGATAGGTTTAGGCCATTTGGCTTTGGTTTTTTGCTCTTTTTAGTGTACATTGCCCTAGTTTTGTGTGGCACAGTTATTTTTACTAAGTGTACAGTAAATATATTGCATCGGTTCTTTTCCATATTAAAGATTTAAACTTTAGCCAGGATTTAATTAGGTGTGCATTTTTTTTTCAATTTCCCAATTGCATTTTGATGAACTCCTTAGATATTCAATTAACATGTGAATGATTTGCAGAAAGTATTTATACTCTGTGGGCTACTGCAAAAATCACTTGATATTTTCCTTGCTATATTAATGGTTCCATTTACTATTGTACTAGTGGGAAATGAAGTTGTATAATTGGAAACTGGTAAGATACTTTATAGTTTATTAGCTTACAATAATTATCCGCATGTTATATTACACATTGAATTGCAATTGAAATTAGTGCATTATGATATTTAGAAGTGACAACCAAAAAAAAAATAGTTTAAATGTTATAGTAGCCATTGACTTGCAATTAAAATGAGCACATTTAGTGAAAAACTTTTCTGTAATTTGTAAACAATGTGTTCCTTTTTGATAACTCTTCTTTTTCTCTTGTTCCTTTTTTTATTTTAATTTTATTTATTTTTATAATTTGCTGCTTGCCATTACAGGAAGTAGAGGTTTGTATACAGCTTCTGTTTCTTATTTTATTTTTAGATTTTATATAAATCCTTACATTTTAATTACTCATATACACTCAATTCACATTATTTTCCTCCTTAGGATGATTATTTCCGCACTTGGAGTCCAGGAAAACCCTTCGATCAGGGTAAGAATTTAATTATTTAAAATAAAACCTTTATTCATAATCACTATAGTTTAAAAATGATATTTATTGTCTGGCTAGACTTTAAGATATTAAATAAGAAAACTTACATAAATGAAAAAAGTATGCATCAATTATGTTTACTTCAGTATAATATAGTTAGTTAGAAATAAGCTAATTGCATATCATGTTTATGTCAGGATATCTTTTATTTTTAGATGCATGTTTTAGATTACTGATTTGAGTTTTTGAACTTTACCATTTCCATTTTTACTACTTGACATAAGTCATTTCATCTTGTTTCCAAGTGCCTGCACTGTGCAATAAATTTATTCGTACAAAATTTCAAAAAAAGTGGCTTTTCTTTCTCTTTTCTGTTAATACAAAATATCATCTAAAACAGAGAGCACTGGTAATAAGATACGACTGAGATCTTAGCAAGACCCAAAAGGAAGAGCTTTATATTAAATTAAGTAAGATCTGTCCATTCCTGTAAACAGAGCTTGCAGTTCTGGCTAACTCACCTTTATAAGGAAAAACAGGACAAATGGATGGTAATGGAAGTGCCTCTACATGTGCAATGAGAATGGAAACATCATATTCAATGAATTATAATTAAATAAGTCAATAAAGCGATTTGTTTACTAGACTTTTATGATACAAGATCTCAGAATTTTCCCTTTAAAGTTTAAACAACAAAAACAATTCTGCTTTACACTGGCTATCATATTCTTGCAAAGATAATACTCTATGAAATAGTACCACATATGTATTAATCAGTTTTATGTTACTATAATGACATGCCTGAGATGATTAGATTATAAAGGGACAAGGTTTATTTTGGCTTATGTTTCCAGTTCAGCATTGAGTGGGCTCTTTCCCTGGGCATCTGGTGAGAGCAGTACATCAAGGCAGAAATACATATTGGAGTAAACTGCTAACATCAGGAGATAGGAAACAAAAAGAAGAGAAAGGAAACCAGGGTTTTACAATCTCCTTCCAGAGCACACCCTCATTGACCTAAGGACTTCCCAATAGTTCCACCTGCTAAAGGTTCTATACCTCCCAGTAGCTAGGGACTAAGCCTTTAATCCATGAAACTCTAGAGGATATTTAACATCCAGACCACTGCAAAATATAATTAGATATCTGTTAAGAATATGTAGGTAAGTGATTAAATGATTTATTCATAATGCATTATTAACAGGAGTTTAGTGTTTTTGCCATGCCTACAAATTTTTGACTTAATATTTGGGATGAATGTTCTAAATCCAGCAGATATGAATGAGAAGCAACCTGCATGGACCTAGATAGAGATTGTCATCGCATTGACATTATTTTGAAGTTGGAAACAGTTGTGCACATTCAATCCCCATTTTAAAATTAGTTTCTTATATAATTCATGCTATTTCATTATTATTATCTCATGTTATTATTTGAGGAATCTGCATTATACAATGCTAAAAAATTAATTTTGACTTGGGTTGGCAATAAGTCAAGCCATTGTACTAAACGACAAGCAATGCATTTATGTAGTTTCTTGGGAAATGAATTTTTATTATACAATCATAAACCTAGAAAACTGGTAGTAATCTATAAAATAGATGTTGACACTTAAATTTGCCATACTTGGTGCATCCAGTTATAAGAAAGATGATTTGAGTTTTTTCTTTCTTCATGTAACAATGTGTTGAATTATGACTTATCTTTCATGTACTAAAATATGATTTCTACAGAGGAGACTACTAAAACCAGATATAACACTGATATACTTTAATTTTCAAAGAAGCTTTTAGCTACCAACTTGTCACATTGTTGTATTTATTAGACAGAGAAATGCACATGATATGATAATACCTAATGTTTATGAACAGTACTCAATATTTATAATTACTGTTTTTGATACATGTTAGCATACTTAATCAGAATTACCCTACAAGGTAGATGAGAAACTTAAGGTCTCAAGTACATTAAGTACTTGCCCAGGTGTTATGCCTACCAAGGGCAGAGTCAGGATTTGGGTTTAGACAGTCTGATCTCTGAACCCTTGAAACCCCATTCTCAACTATTATCTTACTGACATGCAGAAAACACGAAAACAAAATGATGGCCTAATAATTGTGTATGTTATTAACATATAGGAATCATACATATTAACACGGTTTGATGTGATATTTCCATACATATCCATATAGCACGAACTGATCAGATCCAACAATTCGTTTTTTCTTACCCTCTTCTCCACAATTATGCTTCTTTTCATCAATTGCATTTCCATTTTGCCTTGTTTTTTTCTTTTTTCTTTTTTTTTAGCCACTAATATAATAAGAGTGTTGGGAAACTATAATGGTTTCAAGTGTTTAAGTAATTTTGATGATGGTAATTCTGCAGCAAAATAAAACATACTGATGCCAAAAATAAATTGCTTTGGATTTCTCTGTGTTGAATTTTCTGTGCTATTACTTCTCTTCATTAGTGTGGTTAATCATGAGTTGACACAACAGAACCAACTGAAAAATAGTTTTAATGAGGACATGCATCTTCTTGAATAAGGCATACAAATTCTATCTTTACTATGACAAACTGAAGGGGAAGTTTTTATACATGAGCTTGGAGCACTCGCATGGTACATATTTTAAATAATTTAGTAAATGCTTTGGATATAGATGCTGTAGCTTTTACGAATAAATATTCACCTTTCCCCTCCCCACTTTACGGTGTTAATCCCATTTTTGTTGTTGTTGTTGTTGTTGCATGGGTTAATAAGGGGTATTACAGAGAAATCAGTGAAAATTTATTTGCAGTTTCTAACAGTTGTTCAGAGAATATTTTTGGATATAAGTACTGGCTCTACTTTGTACCTACCTGGGTGTGAACTATAATTAATAGATTAATAATCAAGAAGCTGAATGCAAACAGATATCACTATTTCAGAATAAATCTGTTTCATATTATTGATGCATGCCTCCTGCTCTTATAGATTTCTGGGATGTGGAACTAGGGACAGGAAGTGTAGCTGTGCCTTAGGTGAGCATTTGGAGTTTAATTATGTGCTAAACTTCTAAACAAGGACCTCTTCAAGAAGGGAAAACTGACTTCTATTGGTCCATTGGTATGCATTTAATTCAACAAAAGTTCATTATGAGGAAGAAGGTAAGAAAACTCAAGGTGCTAAAAATCAAATCAGAAGAGAGACAGAAGCCTGGACAGTTTACTTTGTATTTAGATGAGCAATTTCTTCAAGGATCAAAGGAGGGTTGGGTATGAAGAAAAGTCCCGCTGTGTGTGGAAGGGCAGTTGTGTGCTTAGCCATAAACTTACTCATTGTTTTGATCTTTCAGGATCAATTTGGGGAGAATTATCTTCCTTTTTTCCCCCCATCCATTTGCAAAATATCCTCCATATAACAATCACAGCCTGATGTGTTGCGCCTCTGCAATCAATCTCTGGCTCAAAGCAAAAGCCACTGAGATTTCATCTGGAGCTTTTGTTTCCTTCAGTGAACAAAGCTGTTCATAGTATAATGGCTGTAATTATTTCCGAAATTAAAAAGACTAGTGACTAAGGAAATGCACCCCCAATTTATCTTCCTCTTCTTAAAATGCAGTGCCATGCTCAAGATACAGGTTATATAGATTAGAAATTATAGGCAATGACTCTGTCTCCTTTGCCTCAGAGTTTCCTTTTTTATTCGTTTCCCATGTTCTTAGATGGTATTTATTGACAGGACCCTGAAACAATAGCAAGGTCTGATCCATGCTTCACAATAGAGGCATAGTGGTATCACAATGCTGCTTTGTTTATGAGTGTTGGGCCTTTGGGCATTTTTCTAGTGGAAAAATTGGTATTCTCAAAATTGAAATTCAATCAGAGTAATATGATGCAATGATGATTACATTATTTTCTAAAAGAAGTATTTTCAAGTATTTTAAAAATGTAAATTCTGAACCATTATCTGATCTGAATCATTATTTGATCAAGCCAAATCAATTGATTTAGGATTTTTGTATCATTTTGGACAAATCCCTTCTTGGCATTCAAATGATAAGAGATATATCAATTTATGTAGTATGTAGGTCATATTGCATGTTGGCAAACTTTGGGTCATAGAAGGCCTCTGAATTTCTAAGGTAGATGTACTGTTAAATTATATTCAACCTAGAAACCAACATTGTATACTCAATTATTCTGTCAGATTTGGTACATAAGAACTGCACAGGATTTCTAAATGAGATATTTATTTCCTCTTCTTATCCATTTCTGACTTCTTTATGCATTGGTGACATTTAATTTGTTTTGCACCTTGGTCTATAGAATATAGCAACCCAGAGTCTTAGATTGTTTTGGCCTATGCCAAATAGTGGTACCATCTCCATACAACCATAAAGATTGTATAGAGATCTGATTTGTTTTTTTTTAGTTGCTGTTGTTGTTTTTAGTGCCCAGATTTAAACCCAATGCATCCCACATGCTAAAGGAAAGTGCTGTACTACTGAGCTCAATCCCTATCCCGAGATATGTATTTTTAATGTATCAGATTAAATCAAAATTAATAATACTTTATTTGGTTCATATCATAGCAGCCTACATGGGTGTGCAAAAGGAAGATTATATTTATTTCTTTTTGGTGATTATGTAAGTTACTAAATTTTGAATCAAATTTATATAGCAAGGGTTTGCTCAAATTCACTTCAAAGCTATTAAATGATATATGGAATAATATTTTAAAAATCACTTACTTATGTATTAGGGTATTGTTGTTTTACATAGTTGTGGGATTCATTTTTTCATAATTATGGATTTATATAACATAATTAGCACCATTTTAATCCCCAGTACTATTCCTTCCCTCCTCTCCTCCCTCTCCTAACTGCATTCATCTACTCTAGTGGTTTTACTTCTATTAATTTTTAATTTGTGCATCAGAGTTTTATATAAAAGTGGATATCATTGTGACATATTCCTATATGCTCATGGCGTATTTGCTCAATTTTATTCCTCAG